TCCCTTGTCCCCCGTGAAACCCACTGCACCCAATGCTCTACCCCTGCCTTATGCTTCCCCAGTTTGAGCTGCTGCCCCCACCCCCTTTGCTTGCAAAGTCTACCCCTCTTTTAAGTGCCACCCCCCAAAGATGCTTTTCTGATTTCCCCAACTAGATGTGATCCATTGGCATTTGGCATTTCTAAAATCTTTGGTTTGGAATTATGACATGACCCGTATCCCGTTGTGTCTTGGGCTGCAGTTAGGTACGTACATGGCTTTGTTCGTTGCTAGATGTGCAGACAGCCTTGCTACCCCAACTTCCCGGCAACCCACGACAGAAACCAAGTCATGGTTATTCTAGGATTTCCCCAAACCAAGTGCCCAATGTATTGTAAAGTGACTCAAAATATTTAAATACAGGAGTACACATCCAATGTAAGGGGAAAATGCTATTAATAATCTACTTTCGGCCGGGCTCGGTGGCCCAGCCTGTAATCCCGGCACTTTGGGAGGCCGAGGCGAGTGGATTGCCTGAGCCCGCGGGTTCGAGACCAGCCCGGGCAATTTGGTGAGACCTCGTCTTGACAATAAATAAAAAACCCATTAGTTGGGTGTGGTAGCATCGCCTGTAGTTTCAGCTACTTGGAAGGCTGAAGCAGAAGGATTGCCGGGGCCCAGCTGGTGGATGCTGGGGTGGCTGTGAGTGTGCCATGCACTCTAGCCTGGGTGACAGAGTGAGACTCCAAATCAAAAAAAAAAAAAAAAAATCTATTTTCTTCCTCATCTTACTGCAAGATAAAAACCTACTTTTTCTCAAGCAGTTGTTTTAAGTCTTCCTTATAAAGCTTAACTGAACATTAGCCTTGATGGCATCATTTACTTGATGTCTCAGAGTCCTAGCTACTTTAACTGAGAAACAGTATGATACAAGCTCCTGTGTGGTCCTAAGGATTGAATGAGTTAACACAGGTAGAGCGCTCAGTTACAGGACCTGGCACACAGCAAACACTAAATAGAGAGCTATTATTATTACTATGTAGAAACTCACCTAAGATTCAGAACCAGTTTAGAAGTGTCTTGCTTCATTCTATTTTTCTAAAATACTTTATAGAAAAGAACAGATCAAAGATTATGGCTTGTCTGCCCTGGACTAAAGAAATGCATTTTACCCTAAAAAAGAGAGAAAAAAAGAGGTTATTTCAAATAGTAATAGTTCAGGCATCAGTAGCTTTTTAAAAAGTAAGCTTTTATAGCTACCAAGATAATGATTGATTCAGGAAAAGCTCACCAGTGGATGTTAAATCCACTGGCTGAGAGTGTGTTGAGGATCAGGATATTTACACAGTCTCATCCCACCACCCCACAGATTCTCATTAATTACAAAGAGGCAAAGCTACTCTTGAACTGGATACATTTGGCCAAGTGACTTCAACTGGGAGGCAAAATTGCTATCACCAATATGAGCCAAACTGACCCTTGTGATGTGGCACTGTGAGCAGGCCATGACATCACCTGTGTAGTATTCCTGTCCCTACCCCAAGAAGGAAAAATTAACCTAACTTTAAATTTACCAAGGAAGGATCAACCAGACAAATCCAAATTGTGCAACAATCTATACCAGGGGTCCTCAAACTACGGCCTGCGGGCCACATGCGGCCTGCCGAGGACATTTATCTGGCCTGCCGGGTGTTTTTGCTGCCTTAACTTGTTACAACTAGCAATGACAAATATGGAACCAGACATTGACCATCTCATTAGCCAACAGCAGGCCCATAGTTCCCACTGAAATACTGGTAAGTTTGTTGATTTAACTTTACTTGTTCTTCATTTTAAATATTGTATTTGTTCCCGTTTTGTTTTTTCACTTCAAAATAAGGTATGTGCAGTGTGCATAGGAATTTGTTCATAGTTTTTTAAAACTATAGTCCACCCCCCAATGGTCTGAGGGAACTGGCTCCCTATTTTATTTTATTTTATTTATTTTTATTTTTTTGAGTTGGAGTCTTACTCTGTCGCCCAGACTGGAGTGCAGTGGCCGCTCCCGGCCACCACAGCCTCGACCTGCTGGGCTCCGGCGATCCTTCCTCAGGCTTCTGAGTAGCCGGAATTACAGGCATGCACTACCACGCCCGGCTGATTTTTTAATTTATTGTAGAGATGAGGTCTCGCTGCCCAGGTGGGTCTCGAACCCACGGGCTCGGGCAATCCACTCACCTCAGCCTCCCAAAGGCGCGAGATTACAGGCTGAGCCACCAAGCCCGGCTTGGCCCCCTATTTTAAAAGTTTGAGGACCCCTGATCTACACAACAATCGACATAGACTCTTTCTTTTTTGGAGGCAGGGTCTCACGCTGATGCCCAGGCTGAAGTGGAGAGGCACCAGCAGTGCTTACTGCAGCCTCAACCTCCTGGGCTCAGGTGATCTTCCTTCGCCAGCCTCCCAAGTAGCTGGAACTACAGGTGGCTGGGGTTTTTTAAATTGTTTTTTGTAGAAACAAGCTCTAGTTACGTTGCCCAGGCTTGTCTTGAACTCCTGGACTCAATCAATTCTCCCACCTCAGCCTCCCAAATTGCTGGGATTACAGGCATGAGCCATCATTCCCCGTCCCCAGACTCTTCAAATAGGTAGATGTCATGGGAAGACCAAAGAAAGGGGGGAGGGGGGATATTATTAATAATCGTAATGCATGATCCTTGATCACATTCTCTGGGAAAAATTAGCAAACTGGTAAAGTTTGAATATAAACTGCATATTAAATAATAAAAAGTAGTGAAAAAATAAGATGTGATCGCTTAATTTTGTTTGACTTACTTTCTCCTGAAGTACTTTGGTATCTGGAAATCTCTTTGTTCCAAGACTTAAAAATGCGAAAATTACAAGTGAAAAGTTTGTGCCATCGAATTGGATCGGAGTTTTTGTAGAAACAATGTGCAACTGGGTTGTAATCACGTAGCTAGACCAACAATTTATAAAAGAACAGAGTGGATGCTGATGACTCATGCACACGATTCTGGGGAGTACTTGGTTGAGACAACACTAACGGCACATGGCGAGGTGTTGGATCAAAGTGAACTGATGATGATAACCAGCAGAGCCCCAACCTGAGGCCCTTGCAACATTGATTTGAGGACATCTCGCCTAATGAGAATGGACTGCTTGTCAACCATAGAGCAGATTTTCTTCTTTCAGTAGGGATGTGAATGACCTAGCGGCTGGCGGGAGCAGCCCTGTCTGTCCCAGTCTGAGTCAGTGGCGTATTAGTCTCAAATAAGGGGAAATTACAGGACAATGTGGAAGCCTGGTTGGCAGTCATTAAAGTAATTCAGTGTTTGGGCTGCCTCTGTGTTGGAGGCAGTGTGAGGAGCCGTTAACAGCTTACTTTTAGTTTCAGAAGCCAGAAATATTTTCATTACTAGTGTCCTCAGGCAGAGACTTTTTAATTTAAAAAAAGAAAGTGAGTTCAGGATGGAAACAGCCCGTCACCACAGGAACGTCTCTCCAGCCGAAACACAGACTAGTTTACCTGTCAATCTTACCAGCAGGCAATGTTATTTGTGAGTGTCTAGAATGAGGAAGAGGAAGGAAGGAAAAAGATGAGCACAGAGCCGAGAGAGAAACCAGGGTGACTAACACCGTGGAAAAGCTGGGGATGGAATTCTAAGTGATGTTGGTATCTCAGATTTCTTTCTCTTTTTTTTTTTTGAGTTAGGGTCTCACTCTGTCTCCAGGTTGGAGTGCAGTGGCATGATCACGGCTCACTATAGCCTTGACCTCTTGGGTTCAAGGGATCCTCTCTCCTCAGCCTTCTGAGTAGCTGGTACTACAAGCATGTGTCACCATGCCTGGCTATTATTATTATTTTTTAAAATTTTTGATAGAGATGGGATCACACTATGTTGCCCAGGCTGGTCTTGAACTCCTGGGCTCAAGTAATTCTCCTGCCTCAGCCTCCCAAAGTGCTGGGATTATAGGCATGAACCACTGTGCCCGGCCAGGTTTCTTACCTCTCTGGCTAATAAGAAAGTGATTGTTCTGGCCCCAGATTTTCCCTCCTTCCAAAGCCTTAATACCCTACATTTAAGATTTTGTGGACAGGTGTTGTGGTCGATTCAAGGTGGTCACAGACGCTGCTTTGTTTCTTTCTTCAATGAGAGGTGGACTTTATTTCCCCCTCCTTGAGTCCAGGTTGGCTCTGTGTCTGCTCAACCAACAGAAGTACACTGAGCAGTCCCAGGCCCAGCCTTTCAGAGGATAGCCGCTTCCTCTGCCTCCTTCTGGGGTCCCAGCTATCACACGGAAAGAGGCCAACAGCCTGTACTCACTGGCTGCCATCTTGGACAGCCCAGCTTAACTTCACCCCCAGATGACATCACGTGGAGTAGACGCAATCCAGGAAAGGCCAGTTAACATATGAGAATCACAGAACCACGGGAGAATACAATGATTGATGTCTTAAGCCACTCAGTTTTGGAGTGGTCTGCTCTGCAGCTAAGAATAACTGAAATCCGTGTGACTGAAGAGTTCATATAAAGGGAAGCTTTATCCTGCTAACCGACATAGATTAACAAAGCACAGGAAATAACGTTTGCTGAGTTGTAAGACAACCGTCTGGATCAGGAGTCAACATTTTTTTCCTTCACTTGGTTTGGACTTCCCAACCTGTCCTGGCTCTAAGGTCTCTCTTTTTTTTTTTTTTTTGGAATTGGGGTCACTCAGACTGGAGTGCAGTGACATGATCATGATGATCATGGCTCACCGCAGCCTCAACCACCTGGGCTCAGGCCATCCTCCCACTTCAGCCTCTTGAGTAACTGGGACTGCAGGCGTACACTGCCATGCCCGGCCAATTTTTTGATTTTTTTTTTTTTTGGTAGAGATGAGGTCTTGCCCAGGCTGGTCTTGAACTCCTGGGCTCAAGCAGTCCTCCCGCTTCAGCCTCCCACAGTGCTGGGAGTACAGGCATGAACCCCTGCTCCTGGCCTCTAAGGCCTCTTTTTGATGCTCAACATGACACATTTAAAAAAGAAAAATTCCATTTTAATCCAGCATCACACCAATACGTGTGCGTCACACAGACCTTATTTTTTAAACAGAGTTTATTGTATTTAATACATTATAAAATTTGAAAAATTGTAGGAAAGCAGCGGACTTGCAGCAATTCTAACAAGGAATAATTCTGGCCCCTTTGCAAAACTGATCAGTTTAAAAACAAAGTCAAGTTCACGTCAGTGAGGCGGACAAAAAAGTGTGACTTCTGTACAAACTACATTTAAAATTTCATGTCTAACGTCTTTCAAATGCAATGTGCTCAGGAGAGTTTTTCTGAAGTCCTGCCTGGTCCCTGCCTAAAGAGATACACCAAACCTCTGTACGCAAAGAAACTTGATTCAAGGTGTTCGTTTGTTGCTTTTTTTAAAAAAAAAAAAAAAAAAAAAAGGAAAAAGAAAGACAAAGGAAGAAGAAACATGGATGGCTGTTGGCAATGGAACCTGTAGGGAGACTGTGTCCCCACCGCACATGGCTTGTTTATTGGTCAGAGGCCTTGGGGGGCCCAGGACACCTCACGGCCATCACAGCACCAACTGTCACTATCGCCTTTTTTTTTTCTTTTTTCTTTTTTGCATTTCCTACCTTTTGACATATATATATATATTTATATATTTTTTACACCTTGAGGATATCACTATTCCAATTGTTCCCATAGGAGTACAGATGTGGTCTCTATTAGATATAAATGTGTCTTTGATTCGATTTTAGGTCCAGGACTCGGTTTGCTGTCCCAACTGCACATGAATGTCCCTTTGTTTGTTTGCGTTACTCCTTGTGTGTGTTTTTCTTTTTGTATAAGAAACGTGTCTGTTTAGTCCAGAGGCTCTTGCTTTATCCGGATGACGGAGGGTACACGGGGTGTCCGCCTCAGTTCCCGCCGTAGGACGTATTCGCTGAATTGGGACGAGTCCACACCGCCCCCGCAGGAGCCCACGATTTCAAATCCTCTTTGCTGCAACCTCTCGAGGACCTGCAAGGGACCAAGACAAGCATCTGGTTAGGGGTGAGATAAGTCCTTTGGCCACATAAACCTCAAAAGATGGTTTGAGATCTTTTTCAAACGTGCAGTTCTCTGCCACTTCATCCAACCCCCAGGTCTGTTAAACTTCTTCTCAAAGGAATACTCTGGATTCAAGGGCAGGAGGGAAGGAACAAACGTTTCTAAGACCTAAAACATGCCTGTACACACTTGCTTTTCACATGCCTGTTGCAACATTCAGTGGTGTTAGCCCCATTTTTTTTTTTTTTTTTGAGTTGGAGTCTCACTCCGTCGCCCAGACTGGAGCGCAGTGGCTGCTCCCGGCCACCGCAGCCTCGACCTGCTGGGCTCCGGCAATCCTTCCGCCTCAGCCTTCCAATTAGCCGGAATTACAGGCATGCGCTACCACGCCCAGCTGATTTTTTTGTTTATTGTAGAGATGAGGTCTCGCTGCCCAGGCAGGTCTCGAACCTGCAGACTCAGGCAATCCACTCACCTCAGGTTCCCAAAGGCGCGGGATTACAGGCTAAGCCACCGAGCCCGGTTAGCCCCATTTTATAGATGAGAAAACTGAGGCTCATGGCTAGTAAGTGATGGTACAGGGTTTCCAACACAGGCCTGCTTGGCCTCAAATCCCAAGTTTTGTATATTCAATGCTGCCTACTCTGCTAAAAAGGAGGGTCTGCATGGAGTTCAGGGGTGCAATAGTGGCTCACTGAAGCCCTGAACTCTTGGGCTTCAATCCTCCTGCCTCAGCCTCCCCAATATCTGGGGCTACAGGCGTGAGCCACCATGCTTGGTTAATTTTTATTTTTATTTTTTAGAGACATGGGGTCTCCTTATGTTGTATAGGATGGCCTCGAATTCCTGGCCTCAAGTGATCTTCCCGCCTCAACTTCCCAAAGTACTGCGATTTCAGGTGGGCGCCACTGCACCTGGCCGAGGGTTCGCATTTCCAAAGCTCATTTATCACGGAAATACATTCTATGAGATGATAAAAGATGTAGAAAGAGATCTGAATTTACTTAGTTGGTTTTCATTTGTACTTTCAACTCCATTCAGGTTTCCCAATACTGGGCGGATAGTTCATATTTCAGCTTGGAATATTGATGCAATTACAGTAGCAGCATGACTGAAGATGGTGGAGGCTTATCTACAGGTCTTCAAGTTGATAGCACTTGAAATAGACTTATTGCCTTGCATGTGTTCAAGAAGGCAAGAATAAATGCGATGTTCGTATATTAGAAAAATATATGTAAAATAAAGACATTCTAAACTTTTCATATAAACATGAGCCACAGGATCTATTCCTTAACTTTGAAATCAAATGCCTAATGCCAGAAAGATCCCTGTCACCCACATGTCGGACACTCTTAAACACAGGAGACGGTACCTGTGACTCAGGCAAAAATACAGGAAAGCGGTCTAGAGCATTCAGCTTCCTTAGGAATCCAAAAAATATTAGACTTACAAGTGTTTCCTGCCAGAGTTCTAAATTCCATTAAGTGACATCAATTCCACTCTAAAAGCAAGAGGGCTCAATCATAACTTTAAAACAGGGGTCCTCAAACTTTTAAAACAGGGGGCCAGTTCACTGTCCTTCAGATCGTTGGAGAGGTGGACTATAGTTTAAAAAAAAAACTATGAACAAATTCCTATGCACACTGCACATATCTTATTTTGAAGTGAAAAAACAAAATGGGAACAAATATAATATTTAAAATGAAGAACAAGTAAAGTTAAAACAACAAACTTACCAGTATTTCAGTGAGAACTATGGGCCTGCTGTTGGCTAATGAGATAGTCAATGTCCAGTTCCATATTTGTCACTGCTAGTCGTAACAAGTTAAGGCGGCAAAAACACCTGGCGGGCCGGATAAATGTCCTTGGCGGGCCGCATGTGGCCCGCGGGCCATAGTTTGAGGACCCCTGCTTTAAAACATGCCTACCTCAACATTTTTTTTTTGGAATGAAGTGAAATAACTAAATAACTCTCAAAATGTAGTCAACTCTTACTGGGTTTTTTTTAGACTATTAATGTTTAGTCATCTGCTTTTACACATATATGGAATATAATCTGCTGTCTTATAAAACAGATCACTGGATGAGACTGGAAAGCAGGAGAGTCTGTTTTCTACATATGAAAGCTTCAGATGCTGGCAAATTAAAAAAAATAATCCTCATGAGAACATGAACATCCTCCCCTGTAGTGCCTATGTCTGCAGGTCAATTTGCAATGCATATGCACACCAGTCAACAGAAGGACAAGGTGAAGAGAACAACCCCCAAGTTCAAAATCAAGATGTGCTTTCGGGACAGGAGAGTAGGAAGACAGAGAGCAGCTCACATGGAAGATTCTCCAGCAGAGGCAGGAATGCAGCTCAGTGTATGCCTACTAGATGAGAATTCCTTGCCCTGATTCAAGAGGAAGTTGTAATGACACAGACCCAAACTCTGACATCTGGCTTTCCTTCAGTGTTCTTCAGTCACTAAACTGCTAATATAAGGAAGTCCCTAAGTTCTTCCTCCCCAGGAGGAAAATTATGCCAGGCGTGGTGGCTCAGGCCCATAATCCCAGCACTTTGGGAGGCGGAGGTGAGAGGACTGCTTGAGCCTCGGAGTTCAAGACCAACCTAGGCTCATGCACATAATCCCAGCGCTTTGAGAGGTGGAGGTGGGAGGATTGCTTGCGCCCAGGAGTTCGACACCAGCCTGGACAACATAGTAAGACATCATCTCTAAAAAAAAAAGATTAAAAAAAAATTAGCCAAGCATAGTGGCATGTGCCTGTAGTCCCAGCTAAGGTTGAGGCACGAGGGTCGAGGCTATGGTAAGCCGTGACTGTGGCACTGCACTCCATGCTGGGAGACAGAGTGAGACCCCGACTCAAAAAAAAAATAAATAAATAAAAAAGGAAATTATTCAATATGATCCAGTGTTACCTTGGATGTGGTCCAAAGCTTATTTCAGCATAATGCAAACAGCTTATGAAGCCATTACTCTTTAAACATCAGCTTGAACAGAGCAAAGTTCCTTAAATCCAGTGATCATCTGAGCATGTTAAAGCCGCTCAGCGGGATATCGGGTGTCACAGGCCTACTCCCCCAGCCTCTGCAGGCCAGTGCCTCTTTCTTGGAGGGTGGAGCAGGAAGCAAGAGTGGGTCACGGGATTAATCCAGATGAAAATTTGCACATCTGATCAGGGAACTGTGTCAAGCATGTGAATCGATGCTTGCTATTCACTGGCCTGAGGGGGAGGGCTGAGTTCTTCCTGGCTCTGAATGGCTCTGCCCCTCGTGGGGGCCTGGGCAGGGTATGTTTGGGGGGCAAAGAGGGGAGGTTTTGGTGGCTTCAGAGGCTTTTGTACACAGCAGAGGCCAGCTTAGGAACGCTGCACAGGGCAGTGTGGGAGCGCCACACACCTCCAGGGGGCGCCATCTGCACGTGAGAATGTAAATGTTGTTCTCTGGAACCCTGCGGCCCAGCAGCCACCCCGCTGAGAGGCTTGCCTTCCTCTAGCATGCTTAGGGGTCATTTTCTACCGGAGTTTTCTGTTCTGCTCTCAGATGTCTGTTCATCCATTTAAAAAAAATCATAAACAGTTGACCTGGGCAGTGGCTCATGCTGGTAATGCCAGTGCTTTGGGAGGCTGATGTGGGAGGATCGCTTGAGGCCAGGAAGTCAAGACCTGCCCGGGCAACATAGCAAGACCCTGTCTCTACAAAATTAAAAAAAATTAACTGGGCATGATGGTGCATCTGTAGACCCAGCTACTCAGGAGGCTGAGGCAGGAGGATTGCTTGAACCCCAGGAGTTCAAGGCTGCAGTGAGTACAGTCATGCCACTGCACTCTAGCCTGAATGATGGAGTGAGTTCCTGTCTCTACAAAAATAAATAAATAAATAAATAAATAAATAAAAAACATAAAATAAAAATTATAAATAGTTGTGGAACAATCCTCAAGAGGCAGCACGGTATTGGGTGTTTCTAGTCTTTGGGAAGGGTTGGTTTTGTTTTGTTTTGTTTCTGAGTTGGAGTCTCACTCTGTCACCCAGGCTGGTCTTTAATTTGTGATTTATTGTAGAGGGAAGGTCTTGCCAAGTTGGCCAGGCTGGTCTCAAACCCCAGGGCTCAGGCAATCCTCTCGTCTCCACCTCCCAAAGTGTTGGGATTACAGGCATGAGCCACGGTGCTGGCTTGGGAAGAGTTTTGTTGGCTAAATATTGAACAAAGTAGTGGGCCCATTTCAATTAAAAATGGGGGAAAAATTAGCCGGGTACAATGGCTCTTGTCTGTAATCTCAGCACTTTGGGAGGTTGACGTGGGAGAATCACTCAAGTTCAGGAGCTCAAGACCAGCCTGGAACAAAGTGAGACCTCGTCTCTACAAAAATAAAAAAATTAGCCAGGCATAATGGCACATGCCTGTAGTCCCAGCTACTCGGGAGGCTGAGGTGGAAGGATCACTTGAGCCCAGGAGGTCAAGGCTGCAGTGAGATGTAATCGTGCCACTGCACTCCAGTTTGAGTGACAAAGTGATACTCTGATTCAAAAACAAAACAAAACAGAAACAAAGTAAGAGAAAAGGAGGGAAAAAATGAAAATCTTCATTCTGTGGACTTCAAATAGTTTTGTGACACATAAATCTGGAGTGAGGACCCAGGTGTGCCTCTGTTTTCTCATCACAAGACAGGAGATTAGCAGGATTTACCTCTTAGGCTGCTGTAAGAAGACAATGCATGTTCAGGCCACAGCCCTGGATAGGGCAGAGTGTCGGTGCTCAGCACACATGGCTACAGTGCTCCCTACCCCCTGTCTCTAAGGCGCTGCACCTCCTCACATGGTTTAAACCAAAGTTCTGAATTTTACTACCAAGTTTCTTACTCCCATGGGTTATCTATCTTGGAATAAACAGTTTTCCGGTTCCTGTCACAAATCTTGGTCACCCAGGGCTTCTGTCTTATCACCCACAGCCGCTGTCAGAAAACCTTGTCGGCTCTACATTCGAGATACTCAGGATTGGACACTTCTCAACTCTTGCTCGAATCCTAGCTTTGTAACTGGTCTCCTTGCTTCTATTATTTTCCAACTGTTGCTGGAATGCTCATTTTAAAATACGAGTTCTGTCAGGCCACTCTTTTGCTCAAAATCCTCTAACAGCTTTCTGTTTGACTCATATAAGCAAGTGAACCAAACTCAAAAGAAACCCAAACAGGTGGGCATGGTGGCTCATGCCAGTAATCCCAGCAATTTGGGAAGCTGAGATAAGAGGTTTCCTTGAGCCCAGGAGTTCACGACCAGCCTGGGTAACACAGAAACCCCATACCTACAAAAATTAAAAAATTAGTGGGGTGTGGTGGCACATGCCTATAGTCCCAGCTACTCAGGAGGATGAGGCAGAAGGATTGCCTGAACTCAGAAGGCCGAGGCAGTGGTGAGCCATGATTGTGCCACTGTACTCTAGCCTGGGCAACAGGGTGAGACCCCAACTCAAAAAAAAAAAAAAAAGAACCCAAATAAACAACCTTAGAAGAATGCTTACTACCTACCACTCTCTGCAATTTGTCCCTGGCCTCCCTTGCCTCCTGGTTTCTCTGGCCTCCTGTCCTGGCACTTTTTCTCCCTGATTCACTTTCTTCAGGGCACGCTGGCTTTCCTGACAGCCCTTGACATGCCAAGCATGCCCCTACTTCTGGTCTCTAGAACTGGCTTATACCTCTGCCTGGAGTACTCAACCCCAGACACCTGCTTATCACTACCTGGGCAATGTATTTATGTGATTGTGTGTCCTCCACATGGCTCCCCTAACACAGTTCCATGAGCACAGAACTATCTGTCTTGTTCTGTCTCTCTCTCTCTCTCTCTCTTTCTCTTTTTAAGAGACAGGGTCTCACCATGTTGTGGAGACAGGACTCAAACTCCTGGCCTCAAGTGATCCTCCTGTCTCAGTCTCCCGAGTAGCTGGGGCTACAGGCACATGCCACCGCACCCAGCTGTCTTGTTCTTGTCTTTGTCGCCTGTGCTTATCCCAAGCACTTGGCACAATTGCAGGTTGTTCACAATTTGTGGAACAAATGAATGCTGAAGAGCAGTGGGAATTCACTTCCCCAGCAGAAGTGCTACCACATGAGCGTTTCTCAGCTCTTATGAGGAAAGGCACCCATGGGAAGGCAAGGTCAAGTGACAGCAGTCAGAGTGACATTTGATGCCACATAGTGTGCAACAATGCCATACCTGGACTGAGTTGAGGTGACAGTAGCCATTTAGTGGAAACCTGATGACGTGTGTCGAGTCGTGGTTCCAGCCTGCGTTGACAGAGTTGCACATCACGTCTCCGATCTCTGGAAACACCTCTTCTATCAAGGACTTGTCGCCGCTGAGCGTGATCCTTTCTCCAAGGTCTGGGGCCACACGCACCACGAGGCACTCGCAGGGCCTTGAAAAGCGACCCGTTTCTCTGTCCTGCTTCCACCTCTCCATCTCCAACAACATGGGCTGGAGCTGAAAATATTTCGCCTCTTCATATAACAAAGTGTAGTCCTGGAAAAAAAAAAAAAGGAACTTCACAGTGAAAAATATAGACAGAAAGTACTTAAGATGTCCACACTTAAGGGGATTTTTTTTTCCCCACCTCTGTTGTTCTTTCAATACCCAAGTCTGGGTGTGCATTTTTCACTTACAAAATGTTCATTCATTCATTCATTCATTCAGTAAAGATTAAAAGGAGCTGAGTGATCAAGGGTCAGGCAGATCTCTTTTAAGTACTTTACATGAATCAAGTCCTGCAACTCTCATCATCGACCAGTGAATTAGGAACCTTATCGTTCCCATTTTGCTGGTAAAAAAAATGAGATGTGAGAGGATTCACCCAAGACCTGTCTCTCTTAATAGAAAAATACCTCTGGGGGCCAAGATTATGCCTGTAATCCTATCATTTTGGAAAGACAAGTGGGAAAATCGCTTGAGGCTGGGAGTTCAAGAACAACCTAGGCAGCAGAGTAAGACCTCGTCTCTTCAAAAAATAAAAACTTAGATGGGCGTGGTGGTGCACACCTGTAGTTCCAGATACTCATAAGGCTGAGGCAAGAAAGGATTGCTTGAGCCCAGGAGTTCGAGGTTACAGTGAGATAGGGTTGTACTACTGCACTCCAGCCTGGGCAACAGAGAAAGACCCAAAAGAAAAGAAAAATGGCTCTGGATGTTTCAAGTTTGATTGTGTTGGTGAGGATCCGATTTCTGACCTCTAGAATGGAACACACACACTAAGGTGAGATACAAATGAGCCAGTGGGCACCCTTCATCAGAAGCCCATGTTACTGGTCACCTCTGGTCACTTTCAGTAGCTGCTGCTGGAGGGTGTGGAGAGGCAATATGGTGGGGGTGGGGCAGTCAGGAATGGGCACAAAGCTTTTTCATGAACTTGGTTGTTGGCCAGTGGTAGGCTGGGGGAGGCTGCCGGAGGCTGCCAGAGGTCGGGAAGGCCAACATACTGCCCTCGGCCATCTGCTGGAGCTGCCACCGTGAGGTGAGAGAGGTCAACAATATCAGGCCTCGACCCCTGCAAGACACAGGTGCAAAGAAAGGAAGCTAGTCCATGTCTGAAAGTGCCATCATCCAGTCTTCCCGCGCAGTTGCTTTTCTCTAGCCGCCAATAAAAAGCAGACCACATTAAAACAGAAATCTGGCTGGGCTTGGTGGCTCAGCCTGTAATCCCAGCTCTTTGGAAGGCCGAGGTGAGTGGATTGCCTGAGCCTGCGGGTTCGAGACCAGTCTGGGCAACTTGGCGAGACTTCGTCTCTACAATAAGTAAAAAAAAAAAATTAGCTGGGCATGGTATCGTGTGCCTGTAGTTCTTGGAAGGCCGAGCGGGTCGACGCTGGAATGGTCGTGAGTGTGCCACTACATCCAGCCTGGGCGATGGAGTGAGATTCCAACTCAAAAAAAAAAAAGAAAAAAAGAAAAAAAAAATCTAACAAACACGTATGAAAACACACCCACCAACCGCTGAATGGGAAGACAAAAGAGAAAGAGGGTGGAAGAACTTAGGAACAGAGTTAGCAAGCAGGTCAATATTGTGTCTAAACGTAGCTGCCATCACCTCTGGGCGGGGGTGAGATAAACGAGTGCTTGTCCAGACATGCTGACGGAGAGTGATTTAATCACTGGCATGGGCGTTTCTGCCTTCCTTCCCTGGGCCGCTGCTGGCAGGGGTGCCCGGCGCGAGGTCCGGTGCGGTAAACCCTGTGGCCTGAGTGCCTCAGAGGGGCCCCTGCTGTCTGGATGAGATGGAACATGAGGAGCAGGGGATGACCTTTGATTTTTCTCTTGCGACTCAAGCAACAGCAGGATGATTCAAGACTTCCAGAGAAAACAGCACGGAGAGAGGAGAGTCCTTGGGGGCTTCCTTCTGGGCAATCCACTCTCCAGAGAGAGAAGCAGACTGGGTGGAAGATGCCAGCGCCCTGCTCGGCTCAGCAGAATGAGCTGCTGCTTTATTCGGTCCATCCCCTGCCAACTCCACTGCCACGGGAGCCTTGGTTCCCTACAGGAAAGGAACCCATCGCTCTGAGAGTCCTCTCTGCACGTGTCGCCTCCCTGCTCAGCCTCCAGTCCCACAGGAGATCCTGTTTTGCATTAAGGAGTTGAGAACGAAGCTGAGGCATGGTCAATCTTAAGATGGGGCAGAGGTGGGGGCCTCCAGCCCAGTCTAAGGGGTATAAGTGGGGAGACTGCAGGTTCCTCCGGGTCTACCTGGGATCCCCGCCACACGGCTGTGTTGTCTTTGCATCACACTAGCTGTGAGATACTAAGTCCTTTTTATTTATTGATTTACTTATTTATCAAGATTCAGAAACAGCCATGAAGTGAGCACTTCTGAAACCGCTTTTTATTTTTCTGTGAGATTTCACAGGAAGTTTTAGCACAGGGAAGGATCTAAACTCCAGGAAAATATAACTTTATTTTTTCTGGAGCCATCAAGCCTTCACATCCTAGAGTAAAGGTGCATAGAGCAGTCTTCTTGACCAACCTTGACCCTATGGAGGGACCCTTCCCCACATCACATCACAGAAGAGGGGCCATTCTGGCTCCAATTGCATGCTTCCAGCGGTGGGAAGCTTACAACCTAAGAAAGTGGAGAATTGACTTTGCTGGCAGCTCTGATTGTTTTAACTGTCTCATTAGGAAGACCTGAATATCCCCGTAACACTGACTTATTTGTTCTCATTCTGCCCTCTGGGTTATGGTGATTCTAGTCTTTCATTGACATGTTAACCTTCAGACATCTGAGGACAACTGTTATGTCTTAATATTACTCGGGCTGAAAATACCCAATCTTTCCAGCTCTTTCTCTTTTATTATGACTCTGAGGTACGTCAACATCTTGTGTGTATTTGACTTTGTCAACATGCTTCTTAAGACCCAAACCAAAACCAAGCCTGACATCACAGACATGCCCTAATGAGTGCATTGTATGGAGTGGGAGGGGCTGGGGGTGGGGGTGGCAAAAAAACCTGGAATTATCTTTTGGAGGGCAGACTCCTGTAGTACACTCGGAATTTGCTCCTCCAGATAAAACAGTCAACCAGTTTTTATCTGGAAGTTTGATAAGGTCTCGTCAAGATTTGCAGAAGAAATGTCTTAAGTTGTGGCAAACAGGTGACTGCTTCTTCCACCATGACAATGCACCTGCCCACACCGCACTGAGTGTTCCACAGTTTTTGACCCAAAACAGCATGGCCCCCATCTCCACCTTCCCTATTCACCTGATCTCATCCCAAACGACCTTTTATTTTAAAGTTTCTGGATGAAAAAAGTCCTCAAAATAAAACGTTTTGCTGATGTGGAAGAGATGGAACAAAAAATGGCAGAAGCACTAAAAGCCATCAAAATCGACAAGTTCAGAAACTGTTTTGAGCAGTGGAAAAGCATCTCGATAGGTGCATTGCATTAAACGGAGAGTACTTTGAAGGTGGCTGAAGTTTAAACATGTAAGAATAAATACATGTTTTTTAAATAAATAAATTCTGCATTTTTCTGGGTCCCTCCTCATACAACATTTGTCTGGCCAAATACTCTGCTATTCACGCAGCCTGTATTAGCTTCCTACTGCTGCTATAAAAATTACCACAAATTTAGTGGCTTAAAATTACACAAAGTTATTTTCTTATAGCTCTGATCAGAGGAGAAAGTCAAAAGTCTAAAATGGGTGGTCAAGGTGATGTTTCTTCTGGAAGCTCTAGGGGAGAATCCATTTCCTTGCTTTTTCCAGCTTCTAGGAGTGGCCCACAGCCCTTGGCTTGTGACACCACATCACTCTTTTCTCTGCTTCTGTTGTCACATCTTCTCTCACTCTGACCCTCCTGTCTTCCTCATCTATAAGGACCCTTGGGATCATACTGAGCCGCACCTAGATAATCCAAGATAATCCCTCCACCTCAAATCCTTAATCACATCTGCAAAATCTCCTTTGCCATATAAGGTCACATAGCCTTGGATTCTAGGACTAAGGGCATGGACATCTTTGGGGGCATTCTTCTGACTACCATATAGCGTAAGGCTGTATTATCTTTCGTGGCAGTCTTGTTACTCTGTTGGTTCACATTTTGCTTAGAGTGAAATCCTGAAACTCTTTTTACAAGCATGGCTTTGAGCTGGGTCTTTCTCATTTCAGATTTGTAAACATTTTTAATCCTTCAGTATTTGTTCCCCTTTAACTTTCACCCTATAGGTTCTGAATTTGTTCCAACTTACTGAGAAAACCCAGATTCTCTCATTCAGTGTTCTAAGTCTCCCTCTCATCTCTGTGTCATTTCCACCTGGGCAATCTGTTTCTAAATGTGGATCATGTCTTGAAGCACTGAGAGAGGATAGGGTGGTGTGTGGCCCTCTATTCAGCCTGATGCTCAGGAAGGAACCAAGGTTCCGGATTTGGTTGTTCAAGCATTATGAAACTTGTAATTCTAAGGTCACTCAGCTCACAGCTATGGCATTTGCTAGCTGTGCTGTTGAAATACTGTGCATTATGTCTGAGTGGGACAAGAAGGGCAAGGCTGGAGTTCTGGGAGGGACCCAAGTGTCTGTACTGCCTAGGGATTCTCTGAAACAGTTTAGGGCTCTAGCCTTCTTATCTATAAAAGGAGAGGAATACATTGCATTCAGATTTCTTCCAGCCCTAATATCCCATGAGTCTATGTCCATAACAAAGGCTTGGTCTCCCAACAAGGGCTACAGGTGTGAGCCACCGTGCCCTCTCATAACCCAAAGGGAATGAGGCTAACAGGACTGGGGGCTAGAAGTCCCCCCCATGCTGACTCTGAGGACACCTTTTTGTCCTCTAAATTCATGAACTGCGTGTTTAATAATCCACTATGAGGTCTGGCCGTGAGCACCTCTCAGTAATGTTCCAATAACTCATCATTATCTGCTCTTGAAAAAATAGGGAAACACGGGCCCTTTTTAGACTTTTGGCCCATCTCAGTGATGGCTCAAGGATCTTACCAGGGGCTATTAATATTATCGTTTTTTGAGTTGGGGTTCCA